ACACACACACACACACACACACACACACACACACACACTCTTAGAGTGTGTTTCAAGCAGCTGGGTCCAGGATTTGAACCATGTTTGGCCATGTGGGATCTCACAATTTTACCCCCTGTGCTACCTGGCCAGTCCAGGTTCTTTTTAAAAATAGAGGAAGAGAATCAAGGGGGAAAAGAAGCAAAATAGTTAAGGGACATAAAAATGGAAAACAATCTGTTGATAATAATGTGTATGATAATACCTTTAACGGGACTAATATAAAGTGTATTCATGCTGGGAAAATTCATTTTATAAGCTGTAACGATAGACAATGGTTGAATGTATAAAAAACAAATAATGAATAATTTTAAAATTCAGTATGTTGGATACAGTGAGAATTTTCAATCTAACAACATGTGTTTATTGCTTCTGGGGTTTTCTCTAGTATTATTTTTTTTTTAAAATTGCCTCTTTTAATTCTTCATTTTGCTTCCAAAACTCCCTTTTAGCTGAGAGATCCAACATCCCATTCTTATTTTCTGGATGCCATATTTGTCACTGTCTGAAGATTTACTTTGGTCTTAGAAATCATCTTTTTCTTGACACTCTCAGTTTTCCTCTACAGAATGGGCATCTGTTTCCAAATCTAAAATGTGGAAGACAATAGATAAAATGAATATTTCATATACTTACTTTTAGCCAAAGCCCCATTTCAGCCTTGTCCCTTAATACTACCCAGTTTTGTATCTGGCAACTCCAAAATCTAAGCATCCTTTGGATTTGATTAAGAAAACTTTTCCTCTCTAATGTCTAGCTTTTCTATTACCAGCTTAGTCCATGATTTTCTCCATCTTGATCAATAAATTTTCAGACCCTTTATTGTAACTGCTTTTCTTCTTCCAAATTTATTTTGAAATATATTTCTGTCCACTTTTCTGTTAATTTTTTTCACTGTTCATTGTCTTTTTATTGCCTTTGTTTTACCCCTTTACTAGAACTTCAGAGGAATGTATCTTGTATTCTGAGTTATAATGCCATACTACATTACTTACTTTGTTGCTCCAATTGTTTCAGCTTGGCCTTTGGTTGTTCTATGTTGGCTCTCCTGTCCGAGATCAGGCTCTGGGTATACTAACTGCCACTGGAATATCTGCTGCTAGGCCTGATCTGAGGATAGACCACATATATGTATAACGCACCTATTTGTATGTATATGTGCACAAATTTATGATCACTATTATATATGTTCATCTTTTTTTATGTTAAGCCTCATGAGTTCACATTGATATCACTGACTTTAATCTAGTAACATAAGTTTCATTCTAGTTGGGGCAGTTTAAAATGGTGTTGAGATAATTAAACTATTTTACTCTAGGTCCCTCTACATTGTAAGAGAACATCAAAATTTTTGCTAATTAGCATCTTAAAAATCAACCACGAATCTATTTTGTTGCATGGTAGGCTTATGCAACATGTTTGTTTTGTTTTGGATACTTGGTAAGTGCAAAAAAGTGTATTCTTTTTATGGGAAATGGAACGTATTGATTTATTTAAAATTATCATGAAAGTTTATAATTTATAATTGTTTGTATTGTTAATTTGAGTGAGGCACAGATCCTTAAACTCTTTGTTTAAGTGAAGAATATGTAGTCATAGGTTTTTTTTTTTTCTGTTTCAAATTCTTTATTTATACATTATGGTCATACAATTGAGGCTGGTTAAATACAACTGGTTTTCAAAATCTCTGAATATTTTCTAGAGTACTACATGCAAGCGACCATGAAAATATTTGGCATTTTGAAATTTTGAAGCTCTGAATAAGCACTTACATGAAGGAAAACATTGCCGGTCATAGACATCCACATTTAAAATAAATGCTCCAGCACATGGCACATGGGATCTTCTGCCAGTAAAGTTGGTTACTGACCATTTCATCAAAGTGCCACTACAGTAAAACAAATTTAAAGCAATATAATTTGGGTTATTTAGCTTACTCATAAATATGGTTACAGACAAGACCTGGACTGAAGTATATAAAATACTGATACAAAACCAATGAATCCTAAGTGAAAGTAGTTTCACACAGCAGGTTTCATTTTGGCTCCAACGCTCCACATTTAGTGTTTTGAGATCAGACCTCATGCACATGAACGGATGATTGCAACCTTTTTTAGAGACTGAACAAATGACTTCAATTTAGTGTTAAAAACAAAACTGGGTAAAGTTAAAATGCGAGTTTGAACTAACTGAAGTTCCAGTTTAATAAACATGAAATTGTCCAGATTCAGGTAACTACATGCTTCCTAGGTCCTCTGAGTCCCCCGTCCCAAGATTTTACTCTGAAAAGATAATAAATTTATGAGGTCAAGAAATTGTTTGCATACATGTGGCAAAAGATTCCTTAAATAGAAATATGTGTGTGTGTGTGTGTGTGTGTGTGCGTGTATTTCAAAATATTTATAAAATATTTTTTACAGTTTTAACAAATCCTAAATGCCAACATAGATAAACTCCACACTGAAGATATACAGTGCTACTGCTGAGAAAGAGTGGCAATGGTTAGCAAATATGAGGGGGAAAACGGCCACAATGACATGCTTCATAATCTCTTGGAAGAAAAAACCCAATATTCATACCAGAGATGGCTTCTAAGAGGAGAAAATTCAGGAAACCACAGACTGATAGACTCAGAAGCACATACAGTGAAACACTCCATGTGTTTCTCAACCACGTATGTAAAGACAAATGTAGTTCTCCAAAATACTGGGATGCCATGTTTTAAATATCTGTAGGATGTAAGGGCCACACAGGTTTATTTGAACATAAAATAATTTTTTGCATATAGAGAATAAGAGGTAATCATTAGCATGAAAAGGGAGAGGAGGATTTATAATTAACATTATGCAAAAAAGCAAAATTAAAAATACCAGCCTACTCACATGAAAATCTTTAATGTTTATATTGATACATATCTGAATGCTTATCATCAAAGTGTGCAGTAAAAAAACAAAAATGGCAGCTTAAGAAATTTCCAGTGTTTCAAAGAAAGCACTTTTTAAATGTATATATACATGAACCTTTAGTTATCCCATAAAATAAATGCAGCACTGGTAAGATAAAGGAAGACTATTATATATGGAATTTTGGCCTTTCTCTCCCCTACATGCTGCAACTATCTTTAACTTGCTGAACTTAATCATAATGGTTACAGGTGTTTTTGTCTTTTTTTCCCCCTCCTTTTCAGTTCACATTTCAGGCTGTTCAGCAGATGCTTGTGATTCAGGAGACTCAAATCGCTGGTGAGACTCAAATTGCTGGTGAAAATTTGTTCTTTGTTTTCTCAGTTTTTCTGGAGCTTTTCTCCATAAAATGATCTCCTGCTGCTTGAAGTATCTTTTGTCTTCCTCATCAACAAGTACTAGATTCAAAAAGTACCTCACTGAAAATTTTGTGCTCACATCTCTCATTGTTGGAGTTGGACCATATCCTGCTAAAAATAATCTTATTGGAATTGATTCACCTTTTATTGGGGCACCATCCATTATTTCATATTTGGCGATTGCTTCTGTTTCTGTCGTGGTACTGGGTCCAATTCCTGTGACCTCTTTCTTGATCAGTTGCAGCTCCATATGTTGTATTTTTAATTTTTTTTTTGAGAGATTTTCGCCATAGAGTGCGTGCGCTCGCCAGACAGACAGAGAGAGACAGAGAGACAGAAAGCGAGAAATACTGCGGTCGGCTACGTGGGAGTCCAGCGACATAGTCATTACGCTAACTGCTGGTTCCCCATATGTTGTATTTTTATTCTTACTAATAAGAAGTACATTTTTCCGACAATCACATCCTTTAAATGATACTTTGATTTATTATACTCAAATTCTATATGCAGACAATCTTCAATGACCACTTCCATCTTAATTGAGTTGTTAACATCAGGATAGGTGGCAAACTGGTGAACAATTAGATCATACTCTTTCACCAAGTCTGTCAGTCTTCTTACTATTGTCACTTTAAGAAAATACCTCAAGCGGACATTGGCACCCATGTAAGATTCATATGGCTTTTCAACTTGCATAAATTCAAAATCATAACTTCTGCTCTGAGTCACTTCTCCAGGTAAGGCTAGTTCTTTCACTAGGTTTACAAATTCGTGAGTATTACTCTTGTCATTGAAAAGTTCAATTTGACCTACAAATTCAATTCTAATTCCTTGGTGTTCTAGCCTCTTTCCAGGTTGCTTAAAGGCTAGGTTTACCTTTTCTGAAACAGATTCTCCATCATAGAAGATATAATATTTTTCTACTTTGCCATCTTCAGTTTTCATTTTTGCCATTTTCCTGGTTTCTCCATCATTAAGGACGACATCAATCTCACAAATGGGACCAAAAAAGCCTCCAAGAAAACTCATTGTCATCGCCACCGCCGCCGTCGCCCGTAGTCATAGGTTTTAATATTTTTCTATTTGGGGGAGAAGAGCTAAGTGCTAATAATCCTCTTCTGCCTTTACAAAGGAAATTTTCATGTACTTAAACCGTCCAGAACAGAAGGGAATCAGTTAGAATGACAGCCCTCTGGATTTACCTAAGACTGAGCATTTTCTCTAGATGTAGGAATTTTTTCTCAGTGCTAAAACAGGCAAAATCTGGGAAACAGCATAGAGTTTGTGTAAATATTAACCAAGGAAGCAATACTTTTAGACAATTGATCACCATAATAGATTTTTTAGAGGTAACTTTTATAAGGCATAACAATTATTTTTTGAAATCCAAGTGTTTTGCAAGGTTTATTTTTAGTTATTACATTTCTAATTTATGTCACAAAACAAAATCTGCTTTTTCTGCAACTGCTGAGGGAGAGAAAATGATAATGCTCTTCTTATTTGATTTTAAGTTAGGAATCCAAATGAACTATCATTTCAGGGCTAAGTGCTAGAATTCCATTACTAAATATTAGGGGAACAAACCTTCCTGAGAAGCTCAATCACGCAATGTAGAAAGAAAATAAGGCAGACAATACCTTGCATCGGCATTGCTCTTTAATTATGCAAGTTGATCATGTATGTGATTGATTTAACGCTAATTTCTTGACAGGCATTGAACAACTTATTATCTTGTTCTGAGAGTGCAACTAACCTTTTGAGCTTGTATAATAATGTATTTTCCAAGATCACCTGATAACAAAAATGGCAAATATCGATGTATTTTATAGTCCAATAACTCCTCAAATTACATTTAATTTAAGAAATCATTGATTTGCATCCATCCTGGACATCATAGTGAGAAAACCCTGTTGTGGTAAAATGATTGTATCTCCTAAAAGTATGGAAGAAAAAGACAGGTGTAGGAGAAAGAGATTAAATGTGGAAATGGTGGCCCCATCTCCTTTCTAGAGGGAAGTACATGAGGGTAGCACAGTGCCTGAGAGTTCTGGTGAGCTGTTATTTTGGTAGTTTTATGTGATTGTTTTATGTTTACTTCCTTGTTATCCCTGAGTCTTTAGCAAAACTTTGGTGAAGGTTGTTTTACCTTCAATGTTATTGGTTATTCCTGGTGGTCAATGCTTGAAGCCAGTAGCAAGATTGCTTAGAGGAGAATATTGAATTAAGAGCTAGGTCTCCATCAACCAGACACTCTCCTACAGAAGATGTCCTCTGTTGTGAAGTTTGCAATAACTGGCCGTTATATTTTAGAGGAAAGTTGTAAGTCTTCATTCCAGATAGACATGGGTGAACAGTCTCACCTTATTCATGTATATGAAGCTCGATAGTGATATTCATTTCTACTTCTGATACAATTTAAAAACTTGAATAATTGGGACCAGCAAATGGCATAATGGTTATGCCACTGGACTCCCACTTGGTTGATCATGGTTTGAGTCCCAGATCCAGCAGCTTGGAGCTCACACTGGGTGCATGTGTGTGTATGCCTAAGATCCCAAGAGGAAAATGGAGGAGAAGGGATTGTAGCATAACCATCTCCCCTGGGGGGTGATTTCTCACTTTCTGTCTCTCTGGCAAGTGCACACACCCTATAGCAAAAATTTCTCTCTCAAAAAACAAAAATCGAAAAACAAACTTGAATCATTCAAAATAGTATTTTAGTCTTTGTTGCTATAGAACTACAATGTTCTCTAGAAATTTTTTTCACACCAGCAGTAATGAATGACATATTTTGTGAAATTAGATTCATGACAAGCAGGCAAAGGTACCTTGTGATTAGAGGGACAGCTTGACTGTAATTACTTTGACCTAATCATTCCTTCTTCCCTGTCACTGAGTGTTTCATAATAAATGATTCCTACCCAAATCAGAGTATTGTAGAGAACATTATGTGAATTCATTGCTACTTTCCTTAGAAAAAATTTTCAGGGTCCTTAACAATAAGATTTAAATGGGATTGAAGTTAAATAAAGTTATAATACAAATAGCCTGTATAAATATCAAAATTAAAAAATTATTTTTAAAGTATCTGAATTGAAAAACCTATACTTTGAAGTAAATCCCTGAAGCACTTCAGCGGGAAATAAAGGAGGTAATGATTTTAAGAACAGAGGAGAGCCAGATGCTACCAGCTCTGCTGCCTGTAGGTACCTGGGCTGTGGCTGCCACCTGCACATGACTCCCATAGAGAGAGGATTTGGATGGAACTGACAAAGTAGAAGAAAAAGTTGGCAGGAACTTCTAGTTCACATAGTCTCTGCTTGGAAGTGTGAGGAGTTAATCACCTGAAACCAGCGAGGTTCCAGAGAACCTCTCCTCCACCTTCCCTCTGGAGGAGAAAAGGAGAGAAAGTTTTCTTTGAAACACTGAACCCCAAGACTTTCACGATGGATTCCAGAACACCTCATGCTCATAGAAGCAACAAAGTTGGAATGAAGCTAACACACATTGTAGAAAGGTACATGAGCATCCAGCTTCAGAAAAAAATCAGACCTCCCACCCCACCTCAACTCCAAACCAGCAAGAGCGCTGTGAGATGACCAGCAGGTGGAGCTCTACTAACAATTAAGACTGTAGCCTGGGGGGGGACGAGGGGGGGACAAATAATGCAAAAGAGAGCATCTCCAATCCAGTTGAGAAATTTAGTCATTACTCCCTGTCTGACAGGCAGGACAGCATGCAATCTCCTCCCATTAGACTCAAGTTCAAGGGAAGGGCTACCTGCCTCAACTGATGCCACCCACAGCACAGTTCTTCTGGACTTCCCTGAACTAATCTATTCCAAAAATTAGAAAAAAAAGTGAATACCAGATGAGTAAAAATCAATAGAAAGACACAGAAAGATGAAAAAAAAAAAAGAAAATATTTATTCCCCTAAATAAATACAATAACTTTTCACTGACAATGGACAAAACATGGGAAATCACAGAAGGGTCAGAAAAAGAATTCAGAATATTCATTGTATCAAAACTCAGTGAGGGGGGGAACCAGCAGTTAGCGTAATGGCTATGTCGCTGGACTCCCACGTAGTCGATCGCGGTTCGAGTCCCGGACCCGGTGGCTTAAAACTCACGCCGGGCACATGTGTGTACGTGCCCAAGATCCCAAGAGGAGAATGGAGGAGAAGGGATTGCAGCGTGACCATCCCCCCTGGGGGGTGATTTCTTGCTTTCTGTCTCTACATCTCTGTCTGTCTGGCGAGCGCACGTGCCCTATAGTGAAAACCTCTCAAAAAAAAAAAATTAACAGATTGGGCCCAGCAGTTAGCGTAATGACTATGTTGCTGACCTCCCATGTAGCCAACCACGGTTTGAGTCCCGGACCCAGTGGCTTAAACTCACACCGGGCATGTGTGTGTATGTGCCCAAGATCCCGAGAGGAGAATGGAGGAGAAAGGATTGTGGCATGGCCATCCCCCCTGGGGGGTGATTTCTCACTTTCTATCTTTCTGTCTCTGTCTTTCTGGTGAGTTCATATGGCCTATAGCAAAAACCTCTGCAAAAAACCCCCCAAAAAACATTAACATATTAAACCATGAAGAAGAAAGAATCTCTAACTTTTAAGACAAATTTCTGACTTAGTCCAATCCACCAAATATAATGAAAAAAATAACCATTAAAAATGAGGACTGCAGGGAACCAGCAGTTGGCGTAATGGCTATGTCGCTGGACTCCCACGTAGTCGACCGCGGTTCGTGTCCCAGACCCGGTGGCTTAAAACTCACGCCGGGCGCATGTGCGTGCGTGCCCAAGATCCCGAGAGGAGAATGGAGGAGAAGGGATTGCGGCGTGACCATCCCCCCTGGGGGGTGATTTCTCGCTTTCTGTCTCTATGTCTCTCTCTGTCTGTCTGGCGAGTGCACGTGCCCTACAGTGAAAATCTCTCAAAAAAAAAAAAAATGAGGACTGCAGATACTACAGACAGTATAGGAGGAGGTTGGTAATAAGGGATGGGAAGATTGGGATGAGGGAAAAAAATAAAACATTTAGTAGACACAAAATAAAAAGTTATCTGTTGATGATAATGTATATGGTAATTTCTTTGATTTGACTAATGTGCACCATATTCATGCTGGGAAAAACCATGTTGTACACTATAAAGATGTACAGTGATTAAATTTACATAAAAATAAATTTTAAAAATGAGGATAACATATGCGAAATTCTAGACACCATGAAGTGGCTAGTATCTACACAATAGATATTATAGTAGATGAAGAGACTAGTAAAGGCATAGAAATCTCTTCATAAAATGCTATCTGAAAATGATCCAAATCCAGAGAGACATATAGACATTGAGATTCAAGAAATAAGAATAATACCAAACAGATTCAACATAAAAATATCCTCTCCAAGGCACATGATAGCAAAACTGGTAAAAATCAAAGATGAAGACAATATTCTAAAAATGGCAAGAGAGAGATGTTAAGATACTTACAAATGCCCTGCAAGATTCTCCTTCAGATGGGAAGGAGAAATAAAGTCATCCCCAGATGAACAAAAACTGAAACAATTAACCAACACTAAACCAGTTCTTCAAGAAATAATGAAGGGAATACTACTTCAGGAAAATAGAAGAGAGACAAATAGAAATAAGAGAACACAAAACAACTAAGACAATGACTACCAAAATAGCAAGAAAAATTCTACATGTATCATTAATTACACTGAATGTTAATGAATTAATTTCTCCAATTAAATGATACATGTTGGCTCAATAAAAGACAAACAACGGAGACTTATTTTTAAAGAGAGATTTTTGCTATAGGGAAGAGAGATTTTTGCTATAGGGCACGTGAGCTCGCTGGAGAGACAGAGAGAGACAGAGAGACAGAAAGTGAGAAATCATCCACTAGGGGGTGGCCATGCCACCATCCCTTTTCCTTCATTCTCTTCTTGGGATTTTGGGCATGCATGCACACATGTCTGGCATGAGTTTAAGCCACTGGGTCTAGGATTCAAACTACTATAGACTTCTTGGGAGTCCAGC